ATTCTTCCAGTGGTCCTGGTGGAATATCCCACAAAATGCTGTGAAGGCGACAGATTGTGACAATTAAGAGCTGTCTAGTTCACAAAAAGCTTACTGATTTCTAAAAGCTACAGCACATATGATTTCAGTAGAAGCCCGAATCACTGTGACATAGATCAAATTTTTGTATACTAAAGGCAGGGGAACGTATGAAGCAAAGCGTTAAACCTAGAAAAGGTACTTCCGAATGGTCGTGGGTTTATTTACCTAGCCGCGGATCCTGCTTAAATCAGCATCAAGCAGGCTATCGTTGTAAATAAAATAGTGTATGGGTATATGGCCATGTGAAACGTTATTAATCTGTTAATTGCTAGAAATAAGGTTTAGGCCGTCCAGATAATCTAATCAATAGAAAGAAAACAAAAAATGGTATAAGCGATGACTAACGTTCGCGGATTACACGCACGCAACTTTAATCCATCTGTAAAATCGAAGCAAATGAAAGTCAGTAAAACCACGGTTTTGTGCGATGTTAAACTAAACAGTTCTGAAACGGATTCAGACTTTTTCGTTAAGGGCAAGCGAGATGACGCATTAACAACGCTCGCGGACGAATTGTCCATCAAATGGGACTGGCCAGGTTCTAAAATGCGAACGCGGCGTTTAGATATTCCTTTGTCAGTGTTCGTTTTGCGTTTCTGAAATATTTTTAGGTGGACTATAGGCTATTCTGAAAACGTTAAAGTACCGATTATATAATAAGGCGCCTGGATCGCCTAATCAATGTTTACTGATTTTATCATATTACAAGAAACAAATGATGCTGATAATATTATGGGTGTGTCAGCCAATCACTCTCTGGCGCCTACTGTCTTTTTTGTGTATCTCAACACAACCCGATTTTGACTTTGATCACGCGTGTTCATGACGGAGAAGGCGCAATTAGCAGTTCAGGATGTGAACAGCTTGGTATGTACCTAATTTCTCTCACTAGCACTTTTTAAAGGATATCACCAAGTTGTCACCGCTGACACCAGAGGTGATTAGTCGCCAGGCGACCATAAACATTGGCACGATTGGCCATGTGGCACACGGTAAAACGACTGTTGTGCGCGCTATCTCAACTGTACATACAATTCGTCACAAAAACGAGTTGATCAGAAATATTACTATAAAGCTTGGTTACGCTAATGCGAAAATCTACAAATGTGACAATCCTGAATGCCCTCCTCCCGGCTGCTATCGGTCTTTCGGTAGCGCCAATGCGGACGTTGTGGACTGTGAACGTGAGGGTTGTGGAGGCAAACTGCGTCTTGTTCGGTAATAATTGATTTTAGTTCTTCATGCTTTGGATGGGTGGCCGTATTCGCCGCTCCTTTCTCCTAAACCGGTCTGCATCTAGATGGCTAGACTCCCTCATTATGCGTATTAATTTAGAAAGACACAAGCTACATACCTTTTCCTTTCTCGCAAGATTTGCGTTTGTCCAAAACTTTGCTCCTGGATTTTTATTTTGTAAACGTCTTAGCACAGTTTAAGGAAGCGACGGAAATCTGTTGACCGCTTAAGGTTAAAATCGCATCTTATATTCTGTACAAACTTCGTTTTATTACACGGGCAAAATATTTGCCACGCCATAAGGCAACTAGTAGGGGGAGGCACCAAAGCCCTCTAGATTAATCTAAAGGCTGTTTTGCGCTGACGTTTCGACATTCACTAGAGCCATGTGTCAATTTGACCATATATAATTGTGCCTTGGACGTACTCTGGTCCTTCCGTGTTAGCAGATTTGAATCAACCGAACTAGGTCCATTAAAAGACGATAACCTGAGTAAAATATGGAAATAAAAACCATGAAACTGACGTATGTTGTTAGTAACAATATATGTCTTTAGGGACTCCTTTGACGACAGTTATCACTACTGATTCATTCAACTTGTTGTCGGTTACTGGTGTTAAAATAAAACCGAAATATCAATTTAACCCGTAGTCTTATACGTAAATGTACTTTCTCGTTTATTGTTTACTCCTGCAACTGACTTCAATAACTGCAGGGTGGAGTTCTAAAATGAGACGACTATATTACGTCCTCCGGACAGGATATATCGATTGATGACACACCCTTGTACCTCTGACCATTTTTTATCAGAGTTTATCGCTGAACGGTCCCAGAAGGGGTTGATTTGTTTGCATGCTGGACCCGCAAACAGTCAGGTCACAGATGCGCTGGATGTCAGTTTCTGGCATGTCAGCCCGCATTTTAATTGGCTAGCTTGGTGTTGTACACAGTCCCAAAGCATATGTATTCGACCAAAATTCACACGGTTAGTTTCCAACCTTAGCGTCGATGTATAAGCTAAAGAAATTAAGAAGAATGACTGTTGAATTTAGAGGAATTTTCACAGTATTTGTTTCACGTCGGTTACTGAATTTTCAAGTCCAACTTTAGGACAGCTTCTCTCAAATCTGTGATTATTGTTCCTTTTCTCCAAATGTTTGTCAGCAGACTACGTGCTCGGTCAGTTAATACTATCAAATAGCATTCATTTATTTCCACTGACAGGCAGTCCTTACAGATTATTTTATTTTTCGGTGTTACTAGCACTTAAATGATGTTTTCGCAGATATTTGTCTGAGCTAGAATTTTAACTAGGTTGCCTGCACGTTTCCGGGTCGCACGGTGGGCGTTGGTCAGAGTTTGTTGAGTTTAATGTTTAGCAATTGATGTGGCACTATATCTTGGGCAGTCCTCATAACTTGGGCAGAAAGATTGTAGGACAGCCCTCTGGTCTCACCATTAGTAGAGTTTGCTCTAGATCGTTGCTCTCCAGGCGTATTTAATGCACTGTCGGGCGTTACAATCCTTTGAAGTTCAGAGTAATCCATGAAGCGGTAGATATTGAATCGTTTCAGTAGAGGTCCAATTACTCTCACGACGCCTACCACCACTTAGGTCTTTTTGCGAGGAAGGCGGGTTACCCAGGAAGGCGGGTTACCCAGGAAGGCGGGTTACCCA